GGAAACGAGATCTTTCTGCGTGTTGAGAAGAGTCTGAAAAAATTCAGTATTGACTGGTCGAAGTTAGTCAGCGTGGCCTCCACTGGCACTCCCGCAATGGTGGATCCCAATAACGGGCTTGTCACAAAACTGAAGTCCAGGGTGGCGACGTTCTGCAAGGGTGCGGAACTGAAGTCCATCTGTTGCATCATTCATCCGGAATCACTCTGCGCTCAGAAGTTGAAGATGAACCACGTCATGGACGTGGTAGTGAACTCTGTGAACTGGATATGCTCCCGGGGACTGAACCACAGTGAGTTCACGACGCTGCTCTATGAGCTGGACAGCCAATATGGCAGCCTCCTGTACTACACGGAGATTAAGTGGCTCAGTCGAGGGCTGGTGCTAAAGAGATTTTTCGAATCGTTGGAAGAAATTGACTCTTTCATGTCATCCCGAGGGAAGCCCCTGCCTCAGCTGAGCTCCATAGACTGGATCCGAGACTTGGCCTTCCTGGTTGACATGACGATGCATCTGAACACTTTGAACATCTCCCTCCAAGGGCACTCCCAAATCGTCACGCAGATGTACGACTTGATCCGGGCGTTCCTAGCCAAACTGTGCCTCTGGGAGACTCATTTGGCAATGAATAATCTGGCCCACTTCCCCACCCTGAAATCGGTTTCCAGAAATGAAAGCGATGGCCTGAACTACATTCCCAAAATCGCGGAACTCAAGGCCGAATTCCTGAACAGGCTGTCTGATTTCAAACTCTACGAAAGCGAACTGACTCTGTTCAGCTCCCCGTTCTCCACGAAGATCGACAGCGTGCACGAGGAGCTGCAGATGGAGGTTATCGACCTGCAGTGCAACACGGTCCTGAAGACGAAATACGACAAGGTGGGAATACCGGAATTCTACAAGTACCTCTGGGGCAGCTACCCCAAATACAAGCACCACTGCGCAAAGATCCTCTCCATGTTCGGGAGCACCTACGTCTGCGAACAGCTGTTCTCCATTATGAAACTGAGCAAAACAAAATACTGCTCCCAGCTAAAGGATGCCCGGTGGGATTCTGTACTCCACATCGCAACGTGATGGAGAGAAAACCCCTGGCAGTGCCCTACGGTGGCAAAGCCTGGAGTCTTCTAGGCGCAAGGGATTGGGAGATGACAGCATCAATTCTTTTTGTTTGTTTTTCTTTTTTGAGACAGAGTCTTGCTTTGTCACCCAGGCTGGAGTGCAGGGGCGCGATCTCAGCTCACTGCAACCTCCAGCTCCCGGGTTTGAGCGATTCTCCTGCCTCAGCCTCCTGAGTAGCTGGGACTACAGGTGTGTGCCACCATGCCCGGGTAAGTTTTGTATTTTTAGTAGAGATGGGGTTTCACCATGTTGGCCAGGCTGGTCTTGAACTCCTGACCTCAGGTGATCCACCCACCTCGACCTCCCAAAGTGCTGGGATTACAGGCGTGAGCCTCCGCGCCCGGCCTAAAATGAATTCTTAAACATTTGTTTTTTTCAGTTTTTTTCCACTTTGATTCAGAAATATAATCTGCAATATCGTACTTGTTTATATGACATTGTATGCCTCACTATTCAGTAAAAATCAAGAAAGTTTTATTGTATCATTGGTAGCTGACTTTTCTTATGCCTCGCTGCTTCATCCCTTCACATTATCTGCCTGCCCCCCCATATAGGCACTGTAGTTGGCATCCTGAAGTTTAAATCAGTCAACAGAGAAATAGGTAGAGAGACATGTATATTTGTTTTTTGTTGTGAAATGGAGTCTCACTCTGTCACCCAGGCTGGAGTGCAATGGCATGATCTGGGCTCACTGCAACCTCCACCTCCTGAGTTCAAGCAGTTCACCTGCCTCAGCCTCTCAAGTAGCTGGGATTACAGGTATGTGCCACCACGCCCAGTTCATTTTT